GAAGTTAATTGCTGAGTAGATCTAAGCAAATTTTGTTGAGGTCCATGAGCCATGGATATAAGCTTATGCTACAAAATATAATTGTTATTCTGCACCCATGGGTTGAAGACAGGTTATTGTGGGCGTTATTTTATTGTTTGGCCTAATGCGTTGTATAGTTGTTGTTTGGCTTAATGCTTTGTATAGTGGTTGTTGTTTAACCATTCATGAATGACTTACCATGGAGTTTGTATCAGATTCAAGGTACAATGGGTATTGAATATTAAACTGTGAATATTTCGGGTTAATCTTTAAAATGAAAATATTATCTTGTTGTTACTCATTGTAGTTAAACCAGGTGGTGGATAAATGTCCGTAAATTCTGTTGATGTAAATCGAAATAAAATGAAATGCGGTCAACATCCTACTTTTTTGCACTAACCACGGATATGCCATGCTACATGTATGCGGCAAAATTTGCCGAGGGCAGCATTTCCGCCTACCATTACTTTTATCGAATTGCAACTGGCAGTGGGTTGTTTGCATGCACGGCAAAGTGTGTACCAAGATTTCAGTTTTTCGTCTCATTTGAACAGCAAGGGAAAAACCCACTGGAAAATCACATGAAACATTTTCGGACAATACTGGGGTCAAACCCAGGACCTCCTGTTTAGACTAGTGATCCAGTTCTTTACCCAGCGGGGTGGGGAAGGGATGGCCGAATGATTAGCACGTGCGCGCTGTATCATAAGGCCTGTCATTGAGTCAATTGGCGTGATTTTGAATCCCCGATTGTACGTGACGAGGAGTAGGGTCGCCTGTCCAGCCTCGTGGGTTTTCTCCGGGTCCTCTGGCTTCCATCCACTACTAAAGACCCCTACGCGCAAGCAAATCATTGAAATAAAATTAAACCATATGTTAGTCCCAAAATGACCTAGTTTGTGTCAAGTGGACGTTAAACCACATTTCTCTATCTCTCTCTTTACCCAGCGAGCCGGAATGAAATGGGTTTAACATACTATACTGTTCTACACAGACTGGGCTAATAAAGATGGACATAGGCCATACAATGTGCTATGAGGGCAATGTTTGTAACAATATGATGGTGGTAACAATAACCATATTGTGATCTTTAACCAATCATTGATTCTAAACTTCATAATCAAAACATCATTACAAATAATGCTGGTTAATTGATATGTTAAATGATCTATAGTTAAGTAAACATATTGGTCATTTGCATTTTTCTTTGTCATAAATGTACATGTATATCATTTGTTGACCAAATTAGGTAACAATCCCTGCCGATATGCGGGGTATGGTGCATGTTTATTCCATATTTTGATCAGTCTATGACATAAATCAATTAAGGGTAGGCATGTATTAAAAAGAGTGCAGGGCCAGGGATAGAATTTAAACAGCTATGACAAGCCAGATACTGTTCTTGAGAACGGGGGAGAGTTGTGATTAACAATTGTCTCAGATTGTTTGAAGAAGAAAGAACCTAAACTGCTATAGTCTGTAGTTATGATCACGGAAAGAAAAACCTACAGTGAAGTCAGCGAAAGTCATGTTTGCCCAAAGAGCGGCCATACAGCGTACTCTTACATTGAATTCCAACTGTCATGCCAATGTGTACACAGGGCCTTGTTTTTTTGCCAGGCCCGCTGTCCTGCACTACTGGCAAGGGGAACCACGCCCAGAAATCCGATGAACTTTCTAAAGGTCGACACGGGACCTGTGGGTTAGCAAGCCAATATATAACTCATTGAGCCCCTGTTGCTGAGCTCCTTATAACACAGTATATATACTGTTTCTAAAAAAAAAAAAGCTCTTTGTTGTAGCTCAAATTCTTCGTTCATAGAATGAATACAGTTTATATAATTGATTAATGTTGATAAAAATTCTATTGATCTTTTGGCCTTGATGAATCTTTATCACAGATTGGTTCATACTGGTTTCTAACATTCTAACTAAATACAAAGCTGGAGTCAACTGGTGTGGTTTCGATTCCCCGGTTGTATGGGACAAGAAGTAGTGTCGTCTGTCCAACCTCGTGGGTTTTCTCTGGATCCTCCAGTTTCCTCCCACTGCTAAAAACCCCTACACACAAGTAAATTATTGAAATAAAATCCAACCATATGTTAGTCCCGAAATTACTTAGTGGACGTTAAACCTCATTTCTGTCTCTCTCTCTCTCTCTAAATACAAAGCACACTACATGTAAGAGCTGAATGCCCTACGAGAAATAACATGGCGAATCATTGAGCTTGTTAATTGGTGTATATTAGTCCTTTCTACATGTTATAGTAGTATTGTTGTAGGTCAATCTGGTGAATAAGCTGAGGGCTAATCATACTAATAACCAACGCTACATGTATCTTACATGTACTGGCGGTCGTCACGGTTGTAATAGTTGAACTGGCCGGGTGGGTACTGGTCAAGTCTTGCCATTACTCAGGGGTAAAAGGATGGATGAAATGAAATGGGCTTTAACTTGTTCTGCTCCGACTAGGATAATAAAAATGGGCATATGTCAAACAGTGTGAGGGAATTTGCCAGGACTGCAGCACTACAGCCCTACAGCCTAATCTTTTTTCGAATTCCAGCTGTCAATGGTCCTTTTACATGAACGCCAATGTGTACACAGGACCACGTTTTTTCAACCCTTCCGAATGGCGATACATTGTCCCTTGCCAGACACGCTAGGGAGAACCACGCTAAAACATCTTGACTCAGGGATGGAAAACATTCGCATACCTGAAATAAAAACTGATGGTTGCACAAAGTTTAATAAAGTACCATATGTTTGTTTCAACAACCTCGTGGGTTTTCTCCGGGTTCCTCGGTTTCCTCCCACTGCTAAAGACCCCTACGCGCAAGCGAATTATTGAAATAAAATTAATACCATATGTTTGTCCCGAAATGACCTAGTTTGTGTTGAGTGGACGTTAAACCCCATTTCTCTCTCTCTTTCAAAATGTGGGGGTTGGGAGGCCGAATGGTTAATATGTGTGTGTGTTAGACCATTAGATCTGTCATTGATTCATGTCTCGTGGTTTTGATTCCCAGCTTGTACATGACAAGGAGTAGGTTTGCCTGTCCAACCTCGTGGGTTTTCACCTTGGTTATCTGGTTTCCTCCCTCTGCTAAAGACCCCTACGCACAATTGAATTCTTGAAATAAAAGTGAATCATACTTTAGTACCAAAATGACCTATACTAATGTCCAAAAGAAAGTATACACTGTGCATTTTGTGCTGCATCAACCAAAGTCTTTTTTCCATGGTATACAGTATTTGAGTAGAATGTCAATTTGTTTCACATTTTTATTTTGCTTAGATATGTTGAGCTTGGACGCAAGAGATAAACTCAGTAATGCTTTATCAAATGTTTTTAATCTAAACAAAACGTAGTCATATTTTAAGTGTGTATACTTTCTTTTGGACATCAGTATAGTTTGTGTCAATGAACTTTAAACCCTCTCTCTCTCTCTCTCTCTCTCTCTCGTGACTGAGACTTTAAACCCTGGTATCGTTAGATATTAGTTAGATATTACTTTGACGGTTCTGTATGATAGAATTGTGATGTCAGATATTACTTTGACGTTCCGTATGATAGAGTATTGAATGTAACTCGGAACGTTAAAGAATACTATTAATTTAAAGTCAAATAAAATGAAATGAAATGGGGTAAAAACATCCTACTTTTCTGCTCCGACTGGACTAATGAAAATGAGACTAAAGTTAAAGGGAACACATTCACAAACTCACAAAACTGCTATGGGGGAAAATTTTGCTCAGGCAGTAGTGTTTCTGTCCACTGTCAATCACAAATTCCAACTGTCATGGGTTCTTTTACATGCACTGCATCATTAGGCTTTTCATACCATCCTTGTCATGCTCTACACCCTGCACCTCTGACAAGGAATGATACCAAGCTTGAAGATCCTAGGGAACGTTCTAAGCCATCACCAAGTTCTTCTGGTTTACCGTAATGCGTCTCCCACTCACCAGGAAATAAACAGTTTAAGATCATTGATATAAGCTTCTTTTGATAAGACTTGATCAAATGTTTTAATACATGTAAACATAAACTGATTAACATTTTCCAAATCAGCTTATAAATTCTTCACTCAGATTACCTGTAGTCACAATTTTAATTTAAATATTATCATCTGTTTGGATTACAACGCTTTTATTTCATTTGTTTAAAAGTTGTTTACAACATCAATTACAAAATAAGTTAATAAGGAGTTTGAAAAACCAGCGCAAATTTTATTTTTGTAATAAAATAACCGTAAACTGATAAGCTTACTCGATAATTTGCCCATAAATAACATGGGAAGACATTTTATTTACGGTAAACATAAATTCCATTCTTAGAATGTCTTATTATTAATTAGGTAGAAATCACAGAAATTTGAAAATTATGTAACACTGCACACAGCAGTATCATAAAATATTGTGATTGGTAGAGGACCAACAATTGGGTCTGTACAAGGTTCTCTGGAAAACTTAGTATTAATATGAAATGAAAATAAGATGGAATGGGGTTTAACGGCTTGGTAATTGAACTGGACTATACAAGTCACAATTCTATGGAATACAATTACTGCTTATTACTGAGCGACATTTCGACTAGGCTTCTCTAGTCATTATTGTGCAAGCCTAGTCGAAACAACGCTCAGTAATAAGCAGTAATTGTATTCCATAGAATTGTGACCTGTATATTAGTAATACATATACAGTACTTAACAATAAGCACTGGATAATAGAGGCTTGTAGTGTGCGTGTGCATGTACTTTAACTATGGTCAAGGATTTCTGGATAACTGAAGTTGCATGGATGAATCCTCCCATTCTGCTACTGTTTGATTGGTTTTTCACAAATTTTATTGTATGGTTAAGGATTTCTCGATGACCGAAGTCGCATGGATGAATCCTCCCATTCTGCTACTGTTTGATTGGTTTTTCACAAATTTTATTGTATGTTTAATTTCTCCATTTTTGATATTTTTCAGTTAAATTGGATCAAGGAAAGAGCAAGATTTATCGCAGATTTACCCGAAGAGGAGTTCAATGATTGGGTTTTAAACGCCCGGTCATTTAGTTTGGCACCGGGGAAAAGCACCATGAGTGGTTCACACGTTACAGTTAGCATGCCTGGTTCAGGTAGCGATGGAGACGAACCAATAGTATCCCTTCAATCCTCCATCAGGAAGACTCTTCAATCAGGAAGTCTAACTGACCGAGATTCGGGTCGTCCAGGCACCATAAGCAGAAAGCACAGTACGTCTTCGGATTTGAGCGAAGAATCACGGGGTTTCTATGACTACTTTCCAAAAACCGATAAACCTGAAAATGAAAACGTGAATATCCGTGATGATCCATGCCCTGATTTTGACGAGGCGGTCGATGTGGAGTCTGATAAAAGTTCGATTGAGTCTCCACGCAGTGAAGATTCCGGAAAAGGAGAATATAATGTAATGCAACCGGATGAATACTGTGACAGCATCGAGATGAAAACATTCTCTCAATCTAAGGACTATCACGCCAGTGACGAGGATAGCGACGACTTTTCGAACCCTCATGGTTATCTCTATAGTAAACAATACGGTTACCAACGACTACGTGAGGATAATGATGAATACGAGATGGCAGCAAGCGTGGAACAATCTTCAAGAATTCAACCAGATATCAGTTTCCCAAGATACTCCAAAGCCAATACAGATCATGCCCATTCTGTTGGTGTGGATGAGGGAATAGCCTTCACTCTCAAAGCTGAATGGCCGACACATAAACCACGTACCTACGTGTCAACAGAACGTGACATAAAGTTGAAGAGAAGGAGCAAAGCTCAAGGTTAGTTTTAAATTTTGATATCATTTCTGGGCCCTTATTCACGAAAACTTAAGAAATACTGCAATTCGATTGGCTGACCAGTAAAATCAATTTGCATATATCCAATTTGCATATTGGTCAGCCAATCGAATTGCAGTATTTCTTAAAATTTCGATTGTATATTTTATGAACAATACCATTAATAAATTGTATGGAACTGTGGTACACTTGATGTATAGCAGCCAATAAAGCTAAACCAATTGTATTTTTATATCTTTCAAAGCAATTTATTTTTTGAATTTCAAGAATTAAAAGTTTGGCTCTTGAAGAACTCCAATTCAATTGGTGTGGAATAAAATACAATACTTATCTAAGTTACTTGTTAATTGACCACACTATATTAAATTCAATAGTATTTTATTCTCACTTTCATTAGACCATTACACAATACACATATTCTCACTTCCATGTACTGAAAACTTGTGCACTCTTTACCATGACAAAACTAGATCTATGGCTACACACACACACACATCTCATTACTATTCATATATTCAAGGTTATGAATATTCATGTTAACAAAATAAACAATAATTGTATGAAACAAAGGCCACTATTGGCACTGTACATGAAAATTTAAATATCTAATTCTAAATGTTAATTATAATTTTAAATAAACACTTGGTTATTGTTGTGTAGTGTCATCAAAAAACAAGGTTTTTGTTTATCAAATAATTTTCAGCAATAGAAGGTAAGGTTTTGGTACCACTAGTTTCAATCATATGGAATACAGCTATTGAGGAGGACCGCAGTCACACCCTACATGCAAACAAAACCCACCAGACAATACACACAAACTACCAATCTGTTTCACAGAGTATTACGAAAGTCTTCTAATATCTCTGTAAAAGATGAATGTCTTCAATACATGACGTCATATCACACGGTGTCAATCATTGGCTCAATGGCGCGTGCATTGTTTACAGAAGACGTTACTGATTCGAGCAGACGTCTTCAAACGTCTTTAATTATTTTTCTAATACATTAAAAAAAATGTTTAAAAATTTAATTTGTCGAAGGAAAAAAGTTAATATTTGTGGCTCATTAAGTCACATCGATGTCATCCTTATCAGTGATTTGTACACAGACATTACAAGCAACAAACATCAAATCCAGTGAGAGAAAAACAAATATTTCACTTGTTCAAATTTCTTCATAATGTTCAATAAAAACAGCACAATTTGAGGTTGACAGAAGTGTGTTTTTGTGAAGCAAGTTACAGCTTACATGTGATAATTTATGGTTGAAGGGAGACAACTTCTTTTTTTATCCAAACTTTTAGAAAAATGGCTAATTATTGATTGATTGACATTTAAACTCTGTGAAATCAATGTTCTGTTGTGTGTTTTTGATAGTTATATTTATTGGGTATGTTATATTTTACTGTGAAAGTACATACATGTACCTGCTTCCATTTATGGAAAGGGATTTGATCATGATATGCCCCCAACCCATATCATAAACCCTACATGTACCGTACATGTATTTCAATAACACATAAAAAAAAAAAATTGAATTTTCAAACACTTCACAAACTTGAGTCAAGTTGTTTTTTCCTGATCTTGTTACAGTTAGTTACATATATTTGTCTTTTTGTTTGTATAACATTTAATATACATGTAATATAATGAAACACAGGACATAGTTACTGAACGCTAAAAAACATACATGTAACATGATCATCCCATGAAAGACAATAAAATTTCAGAATAAGATTAGTACAATTTTGGAAAGTCATTCATGGCTCACACATGTAGACAGTAGAAAACTCTGAAATGTCTTCTCTCTAATCGATTCTTAAAGCATCTTAACGCTCATTCTTTATGACTTACATGTACCATGGTTACATACAATGTACAATGTATGCCTGACAATTGTTCAGTATTCTGATTTCTTTTGACATTAATGTACGGTAAGTGCATTATAGTCTCCCTTGGTAACACTGGATTTGCTGTGATGAATAAAATAAATAATTACTATTAGAAACAAAATGTATATTTGTGCTGATGTTGCACAAAGTAATGGCTGTCAAAACTGAAATAATCCTGAACAAAATGATAAATTGAACAAAAAAACATGGAGGATTGCTCTAGCTCTGTTTAGCTGCCTTCTTGATTTGGTGATAACCAATCTGATTAAAACACTGATCCTATTTTGTTTCATTTTGGGGGGTTGGATGGCTGAATGGTTAGCGTGCGCGCGCTGTATCATAAAGTCTGTCATTGAGTTGACTGGTATGGTTTCGAATCCCTGGTTGTACGTGACAAGGAGTAGGGTCGCCTGTCCAACCTCGTGGGTTTTCTCCGGGTCCTCCGGTTTCCTCCCACTGCTAAAGACCCCTACGCGCAAGCGAATTATTGAAATAAAATTAAACCATATGTTAGTCCTGAAATGACCTAGTTTGTGTCGAGTGGACGTTGAACCCCATTTCTCTCTCTCTCTCTCTCTTTTGTTTCATTTTTTATAGTTCAAAATTTTGTTTTACTTGCCTTTTCTACACTAGGATCTGGAAGAGTTGTTATATTACCGGGGTTTCGGTTGAAGGGAGGGATAAGCCAATGAAAAAGTCTGTTACAGTGACTTCTTGGCGTGCCATGCACTGAACTGTGGGTAAATCACTAGAAATGCCAACGCTGAATGATTAATCAATGTCTGACATAATAGGGTCAAAAACCGCTCGTACGACCCATGACACAACTTTCGAGTACAACTTGTCAGATTTTCATGTAGTGTAGGCGATCGAAAGTATAAAAAAAGGAAGCGCAATCTAGATCTGTATTTCAATCAGATTGCGTGATAAGTAATAAACAGCAGAAATCATGAAATGATGAGTTTTCTTAACATTTTTGATAATGCCCAAGTTTATGGCTTTATTTAGTTGAACAAACTCTTAACATGTCATTGTTCTGGTTATGACTTCTGGCACTGCTAAACAGCATTTTGACATCTTGGCAGTAGTATATTTCTTAATGACTTTCACAACCAAAGCACATGTGATGTTGGTTAGGATGTACATGTGGCTATTCGAAAGGTACAAGTAACCTTATTAATAGTATAGTGGAGGTTAACATCCCCGGTGACATCGTGTAAAAGGTGCATATAGCTCGTCAGTAGGAGATTAGTATGGAATAGTTATGGAGACAACCTGTCATTGCAGTCTGATAGGGGTCGGTTCGATTCCGGTGTTGGCTGAAGAGTTCCTCAGGATTTTCAAGCATGGTTTCCCTTGATCAGTGGTGAAGGACGGAGGGCACACACATTCCCTAAAATTTAACAGAGGGTTCCATGTATTTTAGTGATCATAATGATTTAATGAAACCAGGTTGATGGTTGACATCAATCAAAGTAATATACATGTATATGTATCAGGTGCTATCAATCAGTTAAAGGGAAACAACTCTTTAGCAATTACAGTGTAACTGACAAGAGTTATGTTTCTTTAACCACATGTTGTAAACTATTGATCTAAATGTGTCAGTACATGTCCTGTAATATCATTACAACATCACTGATTCCAGACTTAAATATATAGGGTTGTTTGAAGACACTTAGGGGAAATTAATAAATTTATACAGGAAATTCTAATTGATTCCGTTCTTTCATACAAAACTGTCAAAACTGTTCTGATGGGGTGGAAAATAAAATGATAATCTAAAATAGTTTTCTTCGGGAAGAACACTTAATTCACGATAATGAATTCAAGATTTTTCAAGCCCAGATGGGATGAAAAAAGCAAGATAACCCAAAAGGGTTTTTTTATCAGGAAAGGACGCTGACATCTCAAAGATAATGTCTTGGGTTGGAATGCTTTCAAGATTTTTCAAGTCCTATATAGAGTTAATGCCTGCAAGGCTGGAAAAAAAAGGTGTCTAGTCATCTGGATGGTACAAGAAATATACCCAGGTCCCGGCAGATGAGTATTGAAGAAGAGCAAGTGGAAATCCATCTGTTAAGTGGGGGTTGGATGGACAAATGGTTAGCATGTGCGCTTTGTATCATAAGGTCTGTCATTGAGTCAACTAGTATGGTTTTGATTTTCTCCAGTTGTACATGACAAGGAGTAGGGTCATCTGTCCAACCTTGTGGGTTTTCTCCGGGTCCTCAGGTTTTCTCCCACTGCTAAAGAGAATTATTGAAATGAAATTGAACCATGTGTTAGTCCGGAAAAGACCTGGTTTAAACTCTCTCTCTCTGTTAAGGAAAAAATTCTCTGTCCATGTCAGTCTCAAAATGACTTAATAAGATGCATATCCTCTAATCCTAACCCTGTACGTAAAATATATATATGTTAGTCTCAAAATGAATTAGTTAAGTTGAAGAGACATCAAAGTCTATTCTATTCTATTGTTGTATAGTCAAGTCATATTGCACCAGTCTATTCTTCTTGTATAACCTATAACTGTCTTGTTTCATATTGATTTCCCCTCTACTCAAATTACACCACATGCAAATAGCTTTACTCTTCAATAAATCTCTTGACAAGCAACACACAACCCTGTGGATGCCAAAAAAATCCACATTGAGTAGATGATGGAATCACAAGAATTATGTAACACAGAAAATTTATTTTTGGATAAATCAGTAGAAATGTTATTGTATTGTGTTGTTGGGATACAAATATATTCATTTCTTTGAAAATAGCAAGTGGATATATAGATATATTTGTTTATTACTGTAATATGCGTTTTTTTATGCGACATGAATTTTGGTCGTCATCCACATTTTTTTGTGAATACATGTATATCAATGAGATAAATAAGCCCATCGAATTTCAGTAATTTTTGATATTAACTTCCAGAGTTATGGCCCTTGTTCACCTCGTAAATGCTCTAGTTGTATCTTAAATATGGTCGACAAATATTAAAACCCCTCCTTTCCCTTCTCTATCAGAAGGATGAATAGGCTTAAAGCAAATCCTTTTATTTTAACAAAGGACCCAAAATATTGTGTATCAAAATTTT